CCTTTTCATCATCCTTACACAAAGAAGGCAGGGAGCCAGGGAAAAAAGTGATTAATCCTAAGCACCTGAGAGTTTTGGCCTAAACTCTCTGACCTCAAGAACAATCTTTGTTATGTCAAAAATGTCTCGGGTCAATACCCAGGAACTGGCCAAGTCCCTGGATGTTTACCTCAAGATCTGGTTAAGGAATAGTTCCCCAAGGTGGGTCTGGGTTGAAACAAATCCCAGAACAACACGTTAGGGAAGTTCCTTGTCCCTTGGCTTGGGATGTGGGTAGGGAAGATCTTATACATTAACCCTTCAGTCGGCCTGTAGATCTGACCTATCCTGTTGGGATCATTGTCTCCTATGGGGCATGCCACAAGCATCACCCATATGGAAAAAAACAAACCAATAGAAGGGCTTCCCTTGTAAAAAGAAAAAGCTCGTAACCTTGCTGAAATGAAAGAAGTTAAGCAGTTTAGTATAAACCAGTAAGAATAATTAGTAGGTAAATACATATAGACACCAGTTCTATTAAATAGAATAGGAGAGTGAGTAGAATTATCACAAGGTATATGTGTAAGATTAGGCAAGAAATTTGTAAGATTATCATTATTAAAACATAAATAGGTGAAAGGACCAGTTTGGGCCCTCCCTTCTAGGGATATTAAAATGCTCCCAAAACACTGGCTTTCATTATATGTCACATTGTAGAATGGATTTCCTGTGGAAAAGCAGGGAATATTCAATAAAGTCTTTTGATCAGGTGATATTATTAACGGGGAGGACACATATCTGGAGGAAGTGTATGGTTGTGGCATTTGCTCTGCTGTCTCATTCAGTCCGTGTCCTGTGGCAGGTTTCTGTCTGGATTGAGGATGTTCCTTGTGGTCCACTGCTTCTCCCAATCACACCAATGTATTCTTCTCCCGTTGTGCCATTGCTCTTCCAACGAGTACAAGATAAACTGTAAGACACTATTCATGTAAAAATAATTGTGTTTGGGGGATAATGATACAATTTGTCATCTCCATCAAATGCCACTACCATGGTACCATCCTTGCCTTCAGCTGCTATTGTAGCAGCTCGAGGTATCTCAGAGGCATATGTTTTAACCCATACTTTAGATCCTACTCTTAAATCAGTACTTCTGAATCCTCCATACCTGCTTGTGATTGAAGGTGGCTCTGCTACGTGCTCCCATTGTTCCTTGAAATAGGTGGAAATTACTAATTGTGCCACTCTAGATCCCATAGAGCAAACCAATGGTTCTAGACCAAGGTTTTGCATGATCACTTTTATTTCCTCCACATAATCTCCTCCTAAGATATATATCCCCTTAACAGCCAAGCTTGACCGAGGAAGTATATGCCCAAAATGCTTAGGTGGGATTTTTATTCCTATTCCTGTGGAAACCATAACTATCTTCCCTACAGGAAGATCTACAGGATTTAAAGTGTGTAAAGTGTAATCAGCAGATCTGGCTGTTCCTAAGAAGGGGTGTGTGGCATGTGGATCACAAGCCCACCATTATAATGTTAGATTTTTCGGCCTCTGCATCCTTATGTGAATATTAGGGGTCATCGTTCTCTTTTAGGGGCCTATTGTTTAGCTGTTGCAAAGCTTCCAATAAATTATCTTTCCGATGCGCATAAGAGCTGTTGCCAAGTTATCTAAGTTTCTCTCTTAATAACCCATTCATCTTTTCAATTAATCCCGCTGCTTGGGGATAATTTGGTATATGATAAATCCATTGTATATTATGATATGAACAATAGTGGTCTATTTATTTTCCCTTAAAACATGTTCCATTGTCACTTTGTATTTGTAGAGGGGATCCATAATATAAAGTAATGATATCTATAGTCCTACAATTATTTTTCTGAGTGGCATTCTTATATGGGCATGCCACCAATACCCAGAATATGGCATATGGAATACTCAGATTGTATTAGTTTTAATAGAGATATTGGGAGGGAAATTCCCCTGTCCAAGGCCCACCTGTGTAAGGCTTGGACTCCGAGGTGTCCTGCTTGTCAATGTGCCCATTGTGCTAATGAATAATATTCTTGATCTTCTTGATGTATTGTTGCTATTTTGGCTAAATGATACACATGTGCATTATACTCACATTCCCGGGTGGTTAGTGAAGTATGTGCATCTACGTGAAAAACTGAAATGTTAGTTAGTATTATGAAACCAATCCCATATATCCTGCCACAGTTCTTTCCCCCATATATACCACCCATGAAATTGCCAACCATTTTCATTCCATATGGGCATCCAAGTAGTTAATCCATTAGCCACAGCCCAGGAATCTGTAAATACAGGGCATTCTTTCCCTTGTTCATTCTTTCTAACTGAATGCACAGCTATTAGCTCATCTAACATGTCTTTTTCCTTCAGGATTTAACCTGTCATATCCCTGTCCCCATTCTACCAGTGAATTCCTGGTGGCTCTCACCAGTGTATCTCATTTTGTGCCATTCCCAATTCTGAAACTTTTTCATGTAGTGTAGAAATTCCTCCCTTCCCAGTCTTTGCTCTATTGTGAATATACCATTTCCACTTAATAATATTAGCTTCTTGGGCATGTCCTATTTTATGAGAGGCAGGAGTGCTCATTATCCAATGCATTATAGGAATTTTGGGTTGTAAGACCACTTTATGGCCAATTGTCAATTGTTCTATCTCTATCTATGCCCAATGTGAGGCTAAAATTTGTTGTTCCAAAGGGGAACAATTTCCCCCAGCAGAGGGCAGGCAGCTTTCTTGACCAAAATCCTAAGGGAACATTCCTGCACTGTTGTTTTTTGCCATGGGCTTGAATCAGCATATCCCTCTTGGACAGATACTTGTAATTCTACAGGGCCATTTTTCCATAGGCCATAAATCTAATGCTGTTTGGATTGCAGCTTTGGCTTGTTCCAACGCCTTTTCTTCCTCCTTGCCCCAACTGAATTCATATTTCTTCCTAGTCACCTTATAAAGTGGGTGCAATATTTGTCCTAAACGGGGAATATGTGTTCTCCAATATCCAAAAAGTCTTATGAATTTCTGGGCCTCAGTTTTATTAGTGGGGGAAGAAAATTTATTATCTTTTGTTCAGTCTTAGGAAGTGCCACTTATTTTCAGTAAATCCCTAAGAATTTTACTGCCTGTGCAGGTCCCTGAATTTTGTTTGGGTTAATTCCCCAGCCTTTATTTTTCTTATGTTCTAACACAATATGCAAATTTTCCTCCACCCTTTGCCAATCTTTACCTTGTATTGAGATGTCATCAATACAATACAATGAGTTATCTGCACTCCTTTCATTTTCAACTCATCTAGATGTTCCACCACCATCAGATGGCAAATAGTGGGCCTACATAAATATCCCTGTGGTGGGTGAGTAAATGTATACTGTCTCCCTTGCCAAGTAAAAGCAAACTGATCTCACTGGGCTGCATCTATTGGTATGGTAAAGAAGGCAATAGCCAAGTCTATCACTGCACATGAATGCCCTGAATATTTTTGAATACCTTCAATCAAAGTAATGATGTCAGGTACTGGCCCAAACAAAGGAGGAGTAGCTTTATTCAATAGCCTATAATCAACAGTCATTCTCCATGTCCCATCTGACTTTTTCACTGGCCATACAGGGTTATTCCATTCGGTAGTAGTAGGAATCAGTACTCTTACATCAACATATTCCTTAATAGTAGCAGAGATTTCCTCCTGCCCTTCTGGTATACGGTACTGCTTTAGAGTAATGGTCTTAACGGGTGGTGGTAAAGACACAGGTGGTAAAGACACAAAAAAATTTTAAATTTTCCTACTAGCACTGCCCTTATAGTTAGGGCCCTAACAGCAAATTGCTATTGTCCATCCGTAATTGCAAAGTCATTCCTCTTAAAATGTCTATTCCAATTATATATTCAAGAATGGGTACTATTACTACAGTATAATCTCAACAAGGTAATTGTCCTATTTTAATGGGTATAGTAACTTGTTTGGCTTGGATTTCTTTTCCTCCTAATCCTGTAATTATCACGGGTCTTCTTTGTTTAAATTTATCAGAGTTCCCATAAATACCCAGAGGCCTCCTCGCCAGTGTCAATTAGAGGTTTTGCTACAATCATAGAATTGTAGAACTGTTTTTCCAACATACATTATGGGAATATGGGGCCTATAATCTCTAAATCTTACTTTCCTAATTTGCATTGGAATTTGGCCTTTATCCTAATCCCCTTTCAAATGCTGAAGGCTAGGGTATAGTTTCTGGAACTGGGCCTGCTGTTAACAAAGCCCATCCTCTTCTACTTATTCCCCTTATCTCTTTCCCTTTTTCAATTGAGATCTCCTCTAAATATCTAATGACATTCAATGGCTCAGTTTGTTTGAGACGGCTCCCCAATCCTCACAAGGACCAGTATTCTTAGCCCACTCTTTAGCAAGGGAGGAATATGGGATCCCTTTCCAGCCAGGAATTTCCTGTTCTTTAACTTTACCCTCTCCTGACTTTTTTAGGAGAGGCATTGTGACACAGATCCTGTTTGTGACTCCAATTGCAACAGTGAGGTGTTATGGGCAGTGCAGCACTTATGATTTGTTTCATGGGTTCAGATCTGTACCCACAAAGATATGTTCATACTTTTCCTAACTTATAAATGATTTAATAATGATAATAATCATAAACATACATGCACCTAAATGTGATTACATATGATTATGCAATCTTAGAAGCAAAGGCTACTAACAGAAAAATAGAGAGATAAAGAAGAAGAAATACATCACCAATCTGAGGAAGGAACAACTTCTGAACATGTGCTGGGGGAGTCCTGTATCACAGCCGTCAGGTCTCGGTTGGGAAAGTCCCTACCGCAGAGTGTCCTCTCCAAGGGAGACTCCCAAAGTCACTTTTCCAAGAAAGACCCTTTTTATCATCCTTACATCCGGGAGCCAAGGAATAGGTGAGTAATCCTAAGCACCAGAGAGTTTCTCTCTGACCTCAAGAACAATCTTTGTTATGTCAAAAATGTCTCGGGTCAATACCCAGGAGCTGGCCAAGTCCCTGTACGTTTACCTGCAGAACTATTTTGAAGGAATAGTTCCCCAAGGTGGGTCTGGGCTTGGGCTGTGGGTAGGGAAGATCTTATACATTAACCTCTCAGCTTGTGGAGCAATACTTGGGTGCCCCATCACTCATGGGCTCTCAGAAAGCTACCCCCCCCCCAAATGGAGGTGCTTTGAGGATTGGCATCAACTTAAAACTGTAGTTCAGGAACTTCCATATTTGAATTTACTTTTACAAGGAGAAAGGACGCAATAGTTCATAGAAGAAGACAGCTATTCGAGTAGCCTAGGAAATTAAAGATTAAAAATTAAAGTCAAGAAAAGATTCCTCCATGATCACATGAGTTTCTTCTCCCTCACATCATCATGCCTGGTTGGGGAAAGTATGCATATAGAGAACATATGTGATTAGGGAATGTACTTAGAGGACACACATATAGGGAACACAGGAGGCTAGGCTACATGTGTGAAGAAGCTCCCTCACTAGGCATACCTATGACTAGGTACATTAATGGAAGTCACACATGTAGGGAGAGACATATGCCCAGGATGCATGCATGGCCAGGATAACTTATGTATCTGGTACTGCGGAGTTGCTCATGTCCTCTGGCAATGTCATTAGGCTGCTCTTTGCTGGACATCATGTTTTCTGGACTTACCAGCTTTTCTCGTGTTTGCTGAACTTCTCTTTTCTATCATCTTCCAGGCTTCAGATACTCAGCCTCTTCAGGACCCTTTGCTGCTCTCTGCTTCCATTTCGGGGGGTGCAGCGGTTATTCAGCTTCTTCCTGGCAAGGGAGGGCTAACACACTTTTAGTTCTAGTGGCCACCTTCTCTAGCCAGCAGATTTCCCGGCTTAAGTTAAATATATTCTTTTTACTGCCCTTCTCCTGATTCACACTCAAAGTCCCTGGTCTTAGCCAATTCTCTGACTTTAGAGAATATCTTTTGAGCCTTGTCAAATCCTTGATTGTCAGTTTTCTTCCTGAAGCCCATTTTAGGGACTCTATCTAGCAAAAACAAACAAGGTGCTTTGTGGTGTCTTAGGTGATGAGGGAGAGAGAGAGAGAGAGAGAGAGAGAGAGAGAGAGAGAGAGAGAGAGAGAGAGAGAGAGAGAGAGAGAGAGAGAGAAAGTGAGAGAGAGAGAGTGAGAAAGAGAGAGAGAAATTGTGGCTGGATATAAAGATCTGTGAATCAGACTTGAGGCATTAAAGGACTACAGCAATTATTCTGGTGATGGGTGATGGGTGATGGGGGCCTAGTTTAAGGTGATGGCTATGTGAATGAACACAAAGGGAAGCGTCAAAGAGATATGAGGATGGAAATGATAATATCTGACAATACATTGGATATACGGTGGGAACACAAATGAGGCATCAAGGATGCTATCAAGATTGTGAGCCTAGTTGACTGGAAGGATAGTGCCCTTAAGATGAATAGAAAAGGTGGGAAGAGGGGTAGATTTTGGGGTAAGGTGTAAAGATAACAAGTTCTGTTTTTGTTATGTTGAGATACCCATAGGACATTTAGTTTTAGATATCCAAAAAAGGAGGGAGGGAATGAGAGAGAGAGAGAGACAGAGAGAGACAGAGAGACAGAGAGAGACAGAAAGACAGAGAGACAGAGAGACACAGAGAAAGACAGAGAGGCAGAGAGAGAAATTGGGGCTGGATATAAAGATCTGTGAATCAATCTTCTTTGAAGATGATAATTTAACCCGTGGGGACTGATGAACTTACCAGGTGAGATAATGGTGAGAGAAAGAGAGAAGTCCAATGACAGAGCCTTAGCAGGTTTGGGGGGAGGGGCACTTCTGTCTGGTAGGCATGACTTGGATGAAGATCAGCAAAGTGGACTGAGAAAGCAATCAGAAACTAGCCAGGGTGGGAGTGAGTATATGGACTTGCCTTGATATTAGTTATGCTCAGTCATTGTCTTGGGTAGTTGCTGCCTCCTTGAGTAGTTCTTTTGGCTCTGATCTTAATATGTTGTTGATGGGGTATGGGCCCAAGTCAAGATCTTCACCCCTTGCCCCAAAGGGAATCTGGCCCATTTTTCTAGGGGCCCCCCGCAACTCCTTATCTCCCTTTGAAAGCCCTAGCCCCACCTTTTGATCTTACTCAGATGCCTTTCAAACTTCTTCCTTCTGGTTCCTCTCATTATCTCTTCCCATTTTCTATTCAATCTCTTAGATATTCCAATCTGAATTCTCACCTAGACCCTTTTCCCAGCCCCTTCCCTGGTCACCCAAAGTTACTTTAGTATATATAAGATCCATCCTGGCCCCCATTTAAACTCTTAGACTTTCTCATGTCCCTACTGGCTTACTAATATTTAGATTCCTTAAGAGTCTGGCCTGAATGGTTTATCTCTAATAAACTTTTTCTGTTGCTGAAAGAAGATTTGGGTTGAATTCATCCAGGCAGGGCCCACATGTCACGATCTTGGGGTGCAAGTACTCCTAAACCTCTAGACCTCATCAGTGTGAGATTTTCATGGTTAGGTTAAGCCTTTCCCTGAATACCTGTCACTCTTTAGAGACCATATTGAAGATTAAGGATGGATGATTTACAACAAATTCTTTCACCCGAGCAGCACTGGCTAGAGAGCTGGGGAGAGAGGAAATGAGCTACCAGACAAGCTGATGGGTTACTTACTATCTGGTCACAGACTGTCCCTTTGAGACAGCCAGCAGCTCCCCCAGGGAATTATAGGCTCCAAGGAACCTCCCAGATCCTCTAGGAAGTTGAATGATTGTTCCAGGAAGCCTCAGGGATAACAGTGGCTGTCTGGGATGAGCTGGGATGCAAGCAGAGAGAAGGGGTGTTCAGTGGCATCAGGGACAGACAGCAAATAGTGTGAAGCACAGCCCAACAAGAAGACACACTCACCTTCTGCCCTTCTGAGTGGGACTTGCATTTGAACAGGGCACAATATCTCATCCCAAACAAACAAAACTCAACTTTCAAACCCTTTGCTAGGCTTTGAGGGTAGGGGTAGGAATAGACTAATTGGAAGTACAGTGTCTTCTTGGCATTGCTCACTTTACAATGAACACTTCTCCCACTCTCCCCAACTCTCTGTTCATGCAAATGGGTCTTTGAACACTAGAAATACAGAGAGACTGAGAGCATCTGTCCTGCGTCTTAGGGAAGCTTTTTTGGGGGTATGGTCAGGCCTGAATTGAGGCAGAAAGGCCATGCAAGAAGGTCACATTCTTTGAAAGAGATAGGGATGAAAGAGTTTCTCTTTGTTGACCTTTGATGTGAATTTTTTTTAATCTACACAATGGAGGTAATAATACCTGTGTAGTAGCCCCCCAGTACTCCTTCCCATATTGACCCTGAAGATTCTAGGTATTTTGTTAGTCAGCATAAACTTGAAATGATGGCTCAGTCAGTCAGCTACTCAGTAAATAAACCTTTCTTAAGCACCTACACTATGATCTAGGCCCTGTGCTAAGCTCTGGAGCCTCCAATGACATATGTGCTTTCACAAAGTTACAGGACCCATTAAATCCAAGTGGAAAACACTTAATTAAAAAGCATAGCAAAATAAATGACAAGAAATGTTTTTTCTATACACACAGGGAACACTCAATCACACAATAAGTGGGAAGTCATATATATATGAATCAATGTAAAAACATTGGACATAAAATTAGAAAAAATGAGACCGTTTCTATTCTCCAGGGACTCACATGCAGGGAGGAGGATACAACACATTTAGGGGGGTAAGGATCACATGTGAGCAGGACCATCCATTGAGGGCAGATCACATATAAAGAATTTGTGTGACTGTGGTTCGTGAAAAATGGCACATATAACAAGAATACATGTGGCCAGGAACACTACTAAGGGTACCTTTGTAGAGAACAAGTATAACTGGAAAACATATATGGAAAGTATATGTGTAAGGGACATATATGAGTAGGGAACAAGTGTGATGAAGAAGAGTGAACACATGCCAGGAACACACGTTGTGAGGACATACTCATGAATTGCACACACGTAATGACATGTGTGTCCAAAATGGTTGGATGGGTAGAACAAACTACATGTTCAGTGCTGCAGAATTATTGAAGGCCCTTGGTGCTGTCATTGGACCTCTATCCACTGGGCACTGGGCCATTTCTGCTGGGCATCGCATCGTCTTTGCACAGCTCAACTCTCTACTAGCCGTCCAGTGGGTCTCTCTTCCTGGTTGGAAGTTTCCACTAAGATCATGTTTGTGCAACTGCCATCTGCTACCATCTACTTTTTTTCCCCCATTAGATTCCCCATTAGATTGAAAGATCTTTGAGGGCAAGGACTGTCTTTTGCCTCTTTTTGTATCTCTAACATTTAGTATAGTGCCTGGTACATAGTAGGGGCTTAATAAAAATTTATTGATTGATTAATTCTCCTATCAACATCTTCAGGTCCATCTGTATTTTCTGCTACCATCTACTGGTATGTCATGGCTAGTAAGTCTCTCCCTAGAAGGGAAAAACTAGCCAAAGAATCTGATTCATCGTACTGAGGTTGTTGAATAAAAGCCAGCAGAAATGCTAGGTTAGGATTCAATTTGTTCTTTTGACCACATTCTCATGGGACCCACCAGAAATCCTTGTTCCTAGCCAACTATCTGATTTGGGATTAGAAAGTTTCTATTTAACTCCTGTGCAATTCTCCATTATCAGTCGATGACTCCAAACTCAGTTTGGAGAATCCACTCAAAACCTCCATGGGAGCTAGGTGAAGACTAAGGCAGCAAAGTTCTCCTCAGCTTTTATAATGTTTCCTTATGGGAATGAAATAAACTTAGGGTCAAGAACAGAAAGTCTAGGTGAGGCTGGCTTTACTCCTCTCTTTAGTGTAAATATCTGTCAGCACCAAAAGAACTGAATTTTGTGCCAATTCTGGCAGGCTCCAATCTCACCGACCTCTCTATACCTGTAATACTTCACTCCAAGTTATTGGAGATATTTTTGGTAAACTGTTAAGTGTATTAAGTTTATTATGAAGTGTCAGCTACAATGATTATTTTTTAAATTATTTTGATTTTTTTAAGGTGATGAGGATTCTGTCTTTGGCATTTCCCAATTTTTCTTTGACTGGGAGGAAGGGACATATCTCATTAGTTAAGTGCTTATATAATAATGTAGATGGAGTTTCAAGATTCCTTGGAAGATATAACAATTGATAAACCTGAGCTGACCCTCTCTTCTGATCATTAATATCCAGGGAAGTATCCACAAGGGGGATGGGAGCTAGCCCAGTGTTTTGCACTCTGTTGGGAAGGAGATCCACCCTAGAAGTCATACTGAGAAGGGACTCCATCTTGATGGTGAGGTCTTCCAGACACACTTTTTTCTGAATGGTATTATACTGATTAAAGAAAGACCTGAACCTTGCAAAGCCTTTCAAATGAGAGACACAATCATTCCAGAGTTTGGCCTTCTTATTCATACAGACTAGGTCAAATGGATGAAGAATTGGCCCATTGTCCAGATAATGACATGAAGTTGGATGGATAACCAATAGATCTCTTCCTCCACTGCTTGTATCTTGGACAGATGTTGAGCACAGATATTCAAGTAGGCCCAGAATTGACCAGGAAGACAAGAATGGGATGAATTGTTTTTGGCATATGGCAAAATTCTTTTAATAACCTCAAGCTTCTTTCTGAAATAAAGGCCTCTCCTTTTAATGCTAGTATTCTGTTGTACTGTTGTGTAGTTGAGAGTTATGGTACATGGTAGTCTCTGAACAATTTAAATTGAGCACCAGCTAAAAGGGAATAGAGAAGACCATCTTGGATAAGAGCAGACAATTAAGCACAAAGAAATATCAAGGCGAATAGTATATAGGATGTCATGAAAGAAACTCAGTTATTCTTAGTGATTGGGTAATTTTGGTCAGTTTCCTTATTTGTATTGTATCCTTATTTATGAGTCAAATGTGGGTGTTGAAACCAAGGCCAACTGTCTATCCAATATGCCATGCTTCTCACAGATATCCATACTAACTATACATACCTGGAATAAGTGCTTTGAGAAAAGAAAACAACATAGAGGTAGGAGAAGTCTGAGCATTTAGGAAGTCCTAGATGCCTTTAGTCTAGTTATGATTGGTGCCAGAGGCCAAGACTTTGAATGATCCAGAAAAATGGGGAAGAGGGCCTGAGGAGCAGAAAGGGGGTGGGGATGGAATAGGAGAAGATGAGAACATCAGGATCTGACTGGCTGTTGACCTGTGTGTGTCCCAAATCCACTTGCTCCACCACCTTACCTCTCCCTCCAATCCCCAGAGGAGGGCTAAATGCCCCCGTGGGCAATCTCGCTCTTCTCTTTTTTTTGAACTTCCTGTTATGGGTGTATAAGTAGGGTGCTGACCAAGGGAGAAGCACAGAGCTGGGGAAGCAGATCAAGGTAAGGATCCTGCTCCATTCTCAGACCTTGGCTACCCAGCCCAGGCTCAGTTGGATGGAGATGTTGGGCTGGAGGACTTTGCTCCACCCCAGACTCTAGCAACTGGAGCCCTTCTCTGTTGACCCGAGCCCTCTCCCTTTTCTCTCTGTCCAGATGATTTTCCTGCTGCTTCTGACCCTTCCCCTCCTGGGAAACTCAGTCCCTGTGATTCAAGGTGAGTTATAGCCCCATCCAAGTATTGTCTACACCCTGGAATTCCTGTTTCCAGTGCTCAGCCTATTGGTGGCCGCATGGGGAGTATTTCCTGGGATCCAGGAGAGAACGTTCAGCTCTTACCTAGGGATAGGGTGGTTTGATTAGGGCAGAGGTAGTTTCCAGGTGACCAGACTCTGGCTTCTCCCAGTGTGAATGTGAGCTCCTTCCAAGTTGGGGTAGTTTCATTCTTTGCCCTTGCGTTCTGAGCACATGGCACAGTGTACTGGCACATAGTGGGTGCTCCCTAGAGACTTCTTGAAGGATTGGCAGAAAGTTGTAGTGGAGAGTGCCAGACTTTGGGTAAGGAAAGCCCTAACTGCAATCTTATTTCTGTTTCTAATACTTACCCATTTGGAGCCTCAGTTTCCTCATCTGTAAAATGATAATACCTGTACTATTTATCCCCACAGAGTTGTTATAAGGATCACATGGGATCATCAGTGGACAGAGTTCATGGGAAGGGCAATTTAAACGATTAATACACTGTAGAATGTCAGCTACTGTTACTTTGTTTACCGGGAGATGGGTGATGGCACGTCAGCTGCCAACCAGCTCTTGGCAGAGAATCTCAAGGCCAGGAATGATCACTGGCAATGTATGAGATCCTGGCATGAGAACTAGATGCGAGGATTCACAACACTGATGGATCTTCTTGCACAATCACCCATTTCTCCATCCAGACAAGCAGGAGACTAGGATTGTTGGGGGCGATGATGCTCAGGAGGGAGAATGGCCATGGCAGATCAGTCTGAGGAAAAGTGTTGGTGGTTTGTGGAAGCACATCTGTGGGGGCTCTCTCATCGACCCCAGTTGGATCCTGACAGCTGCCCACTGCTTTCCTAGGTGAGTCACCTTCCCCCCTCTCAGAGGTGCAAGGGGGCATGAATCGGGGGTGGGACAGAGAGAGCCTCAGGTCTCAGAGAAAGAGGATCTGGATTGTAGTTCAGACTGTGCCACATACTAACACAGTGTATGACCTTGGACAAGGCTTTTCCCTTCTCTGGGCCTCGTTTTCTAAAATGGGGATACCAATCCCTATCGTGAGTTCCTCACTTGGCTATTGGACAAAAAAAAATCTCTTTTTCATCTGCAAAGTGCCTAACAGATGTATGGCACAATGTTACTACGATAAGATGGGAAATCCAGGGGAAAGAGAAGGAGAGTTAGCAGAGGGAGAGCTAGGGAACTTCCCCGTGTTATGGGTGGTGGGGGGCTATGGGAGTTCCAGGAAGGTCCAAATACCCAGTTCCATGGTTGACAGCTAGAGGGCACAGATGGGTCCAACTGGGTCTCAGGATACTTGGACTGGGCCATGTAGCCCCTCTAAGGAATATTATTTCCCCCCCTTTTTTCCCAGATCTGGAAAGGAAACTTCACAATATATGGTCCAATTGCGGCAACAGAATCTATATGAAGATGACAACCTGGTGCCCCTGGAAGAGATCATTATTCACCCTAAGTATACTGGTTTCAAGGCAGGCTCTGACCTTGCCCTGCTAAAACTCCAGTTCCCTGTACAGCTGAATGAGAATGTCCAAACCATCACGCTCCCTGAAGCCTCCCAGACCTTCACTCCAGACATGGAATGCTGGGTCTCTGGTTGGGGGAACATTGGATTTGAAGGTGAGCTGTGAGAGGCTGGGAGTGGGTGGGAGGTGTGGGGCTCTGGGATGTCCCAGGGTTAGTAGAGGGCCAGGATCAAGGCCAAGACTAGGCATTGCAAGGACTGTGGTGAAGACAGCAGAAAGGGTTGTAGAGATGACATTTCTAGGATTTCTTTATTAAGGAAAATTATTTTGACAAGTCCTGTTTCTTTGCTATACAGAGCAGTGATGCTGTGCCCCCCCCTGTGTCTGGGAGCTCAGCCTGCTGGGGGCTCAATCTAAGGTCATTGCTAAAGGCTATAGTGAAAAGAGCACTGGATATGGAATTAGAGGGTTCCAAACTTGGCTGCTTTCTACCTGTGTGTCCATGTACTATGTGCCATTTCCCTCTTTGGGCCTCAGTTTCTCTCTCTGTCACATGAAGGGTTTGAACTAGGTGATCTCTGAAATAACTCTCAGCTCTAAATGACTTCTTTGTCCTGACAGTCGACTTCTGACTATGCTTCTTTGCTGACCCTGGTGTCTAAGTATCAGTTATTCCCAGAGCACAGATGTTGGCCTCCATAACTATTCTGTACCCTCACCTTTGTTTATAGACCCAGAGTCTCACTGTGCCCAGAATTCTCCTGCCCTCTGATCTAAGCTCGCAGTAATTCTTCATGATTGCTTCTCTCTTTAGAGCACCTGCCCCCTCCCTTCACCCTGCAGAAGGTGAGGGTCCCTGTGATGGATGCCGTAACCTGTGACCAGGAATACCATGAAAATAACTTCATTCCTGAAGATGAAAGGGTTATTCTTGATAACATGATCTGTGCTGGTGAAGCTGGGAAGAGCCCCTGTCAGGTGAGAGGCTTTCTGTGTTTGCTCTCTGTGAGGCCCTTCCCCTAACTCTAGATTGAACTTAGGTGTCCTGTTCTCTTGTGCATTCTCTGTCCCTTGGACCATCCTAACAGCCTCTCTCTTGTTTTCCAGGGTGACTCTGGGGGAGCCTTGGTGTGTAAGGTTAAGGGCTTCTGGTTCCAGGCTGGAATAGTGAGTTGGGGAGAGATTTGTGCTGCTCCCCATAGACCTGGAGTCTTTACTCGTGTCACAGCCTTTGTGGATTGGATCAATCAGCACATCCAGTGATCTTGTGGCCCAATGCCTCTTTGTCTTTCTTCATCACATCATCACCTTCAGCCATAATTCCAGCTTCCATGTCTGCTGGGAAACCAATGGGACTATTTCTTTATCCTCCCCATCACACCAGACTCATGCTGCCTTCTTCAAATACCTCCTTCCCTGAGGTATCTCTCCTTCTCTGCCCCTGACTCCTAGTCCAGGATACTTGGATTATTTCAGGAGATGATGAGTGGATAAAGAAGGAGAGAGGGAAAGAGGATGGTTTATATGTCATTGCTTACATCTTATTAAACTGTGTGTGATTTTTGCACTTTGTAATAAATGTGTTTTCTTTGGGTTGGTTCTGGCCGAGAGTGCAGGTATTGTACGGAAGGAATACAAAGTGATGAGGACCTTTGAAAGCAAGGTATAGGCCACCAAGTTTTAGGTACATGTGAGGAAAAACACACTTCTTTATTATTAGTAGTATTTAGGCAATTGGTGTTAAATGACTTGCCCAGGGTCACAGAGCTAGTAAGTGTTAAGTGTTTGGTCTGAGGCTGGATTTGAACTCAGGTTCCAGGGCCAGTGCACCATCCACTGTGCCACCTAGCTGCCCCAAAAAACCACTTCTTATTAATCAGCTGTACGGAAATGAACTGTCTCTTTGGGAGGTCCCAGGCTCAGAGATTTAGAGATAGTGGAACTTAAGACAACCTCCTGTCTAACCCATTTTCTTTACAGACAAGGTCTGGGGATGATAAGAGGTATGCCCAAGGTCACATATCTACTGACTGTCAGGGATAGGATTTTAACTCAAGTTTTGCAGTATTCAGGTCTAATGTACAGAATTATCCACTAAGAATAATTGATTGGTTGTCTTTGAACAGAGAAGGGATGACTATTTGTTCTGGCCACCATAGAAGAGATTCTTGCTCCCCACAGTATTTGGACCAGATAACCTGAGAGAATAATAGTGTATGGTATAGAATTGAGGTATCCTACTGGCGGTAGACACTCCCTTCTGTCTGGTTGCCCAAGGCCTTAAGAGCTAGAGGGCAGGTCCCTAAATGATATATCAACAGGCCTGATTTCTACTCTTCTCTCTTCTACTTAATCTCTATGTCTCTTTGACCCAGTTATCTCTCCTTTTGTAAGCCTCAGTTTCCTTATCTGTAAAGTAGAATAATAGGGAATATAGGGTCTTTAAGAACCTTCTTGGCTGCAGCTTTCCAACACTCTATGACTATAGATGTATTTCCCAAGAGATACCCTAAGAAGTTTAAAGAGGCACAGATTTGGGCCCATTGTTTTCTGACTGTCAAAGACTGGCCTGGGCTCATCCTGGCTATGGTACTTACTAATTGTGTGACTTTGGGAACTTCTGTTCTCCGGACCAGAATGTTCATCTTCAGAAGACTGCCACTGAGTTGGGATGTGTCCATTTGGACTCTCCAAATCTGCCCCAGTCCCAGGTTCACTATCAGTAAACCAGGGAAGCCTTCTCTTTGCTGCAGTATCCACCCATATACTCAACCAAATAATTCTGTCTATGTAGCTATGTAGTCTTCTAGGAAATAGAACATTTTTTTTTCCACTAAAAAAGAGGAAGTGAAAAACCTTTCATCCATAATTAAAATTTATCTTGTGCCCTCAAAAAATAAAATACAAAATACCATTTGGAAAGTATTTAAAGTCTTTGCACCCAACCTGTCTATGTCTTATAGGTCAGAAATCTTTGGGTAAAATCACTGGCGAATTATTTTGTCCCCTGGTGGCAAGCAATGAGATGAACACCTATGCTCCTCCTGATGGGACAGGAGTTTCAGGACTTCTCTTCCCTGAAAAACCACCATGAACCATTCAATTCATGGTTTTACTGTTTCTGAGGGAGATCCTTCCAGTGGTGGCAGTGGCTTCCTGTTGTCAGCTGCCTATCTCCCCAGACACCACGCCACCTGAAATGTGGCCAGTGTAGACAGGGCTCTGCCCCTTCTTCTTTACATTTGTTCTTTTCTCCTTTTAGAGGAAAGTCAGGTTCTGACCTTGTGAGCTTCAAAATGTTTGGGAGAGTGAGTCTGAGATCAGAGAGTCAGAGTCAGTGGCAGATTTTTGGGTAGCCAATCCTAGTGAGGAGTGAAGTCTGTGACACCTTCTTGAGCTGTCATAGAAGAGGATGGAAGGCAGCCTAGAGGAAGGGATAGGGGGTTCATCCTAGCATTCTGAAGTGAACTTTGCGAAGGAAAATGCTGTGTAGAAATTACTCTGTGTTAGAGCCCTCTCTTTTCAGGGCCCAAGGTGGTTAGAATGTGTCCCCAGGGGTTGGAAAGAAACTGGGTACTTCCTTTGTTCCTATATCTTCTCAGTAAATATCCCTTTGTAAGGTGGTGCAGTAGGTAAAGGGCGGGACATGGAGTCAGGAAGACTCATCTTTAGGGGTTCAAATCTGGTCTCAGACACTCACTAGTTATGTGATCCTGGGCTTGTCACTTAACTTTCCCTACCTCAGTTTCCTTATCTGCAAAATGAGCTGGGAAAGGAAATAGCAAACCACTCCTGTATCTTTGCCTAGAAAATGTCAAATGGGGTCACAGAGTTGGACACGAGTGAAACAACTGGACAACAACAACAATAATAAAATGAAATCATGGCAAAGTTGCTGCAAAAGCAGATTCTATGATACAGAACACATAACAGGAGAGTGGAGGTGGTTACTGCCCCCTCTCAGACTCTACTCCCTGAGCCCTCAGAGGTGATGCACAGATATAGACAGGCAGCATCCATAGCAGCAAACCCCTCTGAACACCAACTGAGACGCAGCACAACCCCAGAACACCAAGTCAGGGGCAGCCCAAGTCTCAGTAGGTGTGTCTCTGAACACAGTACCCTCTGTAGCTAAAACCCCTAAATTCTCACATCTTTCATAGCAAAACCTTTTAGACACACATCTACTTGCTTCAAAGCCCTTGGAACACACTCTCTGCAGCTAAATACTCTAAGCTCAACATGTGAGGAAATCCTGACAATACATTATTTCTGTTTGCTTGCTTAACACTAGTGCCAAAGTTAGCCTATTCTTCTCTAGGAAGATCCTACAGGCAGAGGGTCAGAGCAAGGCATGGCAGGCATTTCTGACCCTGTCTTATGACCAGACCTCCTGACCTTCTTAGGAAGCAGCTCTGAATTTCAGACTTCTGCATTCTTTGGCCACCATGCTGCTCTGTCTTCTCCTTTGTGCAAGAACCTTGTTGTCAATCTATTCTCATCAGTTCTCCCAGGAAACCCCTTAATTGTCAGATTCCACAAGATCTTGTATTACTGGTGGTGATGGTAGGGCTTATTTGGTATGAGGTGCCACCTAGGAATGACGCCTGACCCTTCTGCTCTCATTCCCAAAAGTCCTGACTGGCTTTATAAGATTTCTGAAACTTTGTGATTGGAGTTCACTCTTTGAGAAGAGGCCATTTTTTGGTCTTCTGATGGTACAAACCTTTCTTTTTCCTAGGGAGGAGGAGATCAGGGGTGGATATAAGTCAACTCTCATAGAGCAGGTCAATTTCTAACCTGGGTTTGGTGGCTGAGCCAAGATGGGAGAAAAGCCCCTAGAGAAGGATAGAAGCAGTTAGGAACAAACTTTGTCTTCTCCCTCTTGTGGCACAGTGATTTAGGCTTTCTCGCTAAGCTGGGCATAAGCTGAGACTCACCAGTGGAAATTTGGTTGACATTATGTCTTGCATGGTAACTGTGGGTCTTCATTCTGTTTTATCTCAGAATAATCAGTCAGAGAGATCGGAAGAGCAGTGATAACTAAGGGAAAATATTGAAAATTAGCCAGACCTTCTGTGACAGAAGTCCTGTGATAATGGTTGCGGAAGGCCAAGGATGGAAGGCCAAGGGAAGCAGGTGAGCCTGGGTAGGGCAGGGCAGGTGATTGCTCCACTCAGCTCAGATGGCCCTCCCCAAAATGAGGAGCCTAGGAAAGATAGCCTGGTGCAGTGTCAGGAAGACTGGAGTCAGGAAGACTGGAGATGGAATCCCACCTTAGACACTTTCTAATTAGCTGCTTAACCCTGGACAAGTCACTTCACTTCTCCTCTGAGTCTCAATTTCTTCACTCGTAAAGTGGGTATGATAATAATACTCACTTCATAGAGTTGCTCTGAAGATCAAAGAAGATAAAATATGTAAGTATGGGATAAAGACTGGTCCTATAATTTAATTAATATAGAGAGTTCGTTCATTGGAGACTCCCTCTACCAAATGTAGTCACTTCTTTACAATTATAGTCTTAGACAGGTCCTTATGGCCACCAAGAAGTTACAGAAATTGCTCAGGGTCACATGACCAATTTGTATCAGTGATAAGACTCAAACCCAGATCTCTTGGCTCTGAGGCCAGCTCTCTATCTACTGTACCTTACTACCTTTAATTATATACACATAAAGCACTTTTATATCCTAGCTATGTAATAATGATAAAAATGATGATGATGAGGAAGATGATGATTTAAAGAAACTAGTCTCTCCCCTCCAAGGCCTTTGCACTCTTCTTGAGTACCAGTTTCACTTGGGTCAAAGTCTTTCTGTCCTTGAGCTTTTCTGCCATGGAATAAGAACACCCCATATGCTAGTCGTACTGAGCCAGCCAGAGAATCACGGGGATCGTGACCCCAGTCCAACTAGGACCCCATGGGGCCTTCAACAGCCAGATCCTGTCCGTCTGCCTTTTTGTAGCCTTTGGCAAACTCCCCTACATAGACCAGAGTGGGGTGAAGGTCTGGGGTGAGATAGAGGACTGTTCTGGTAAGGTCCTAAGCAAGGGTTACAATTGTGTTTCCATGTTCTATCCTAGAGATGGCCGTATGAACATTAATTTTTTTTTTATTCTGACATTAACAAACAGCTTTCCCCCTTAGGCCTCCAAATTGCTTCTTTTGCTCTCCATTGACAGCTCCTTGAATCCTCAGGACCTGAAGATCCAGGTGGGGGAACAGTTTCTCTATACCATCTCCCTGCTCCCCTTACCATCTCAAGTCCCATGATGGGGGCTTGGACTCTATGGCAGATCACAAACTCTTTGGGAAGACTGAATGTTAGTCCTTGGCCTTGCTCTAGCTTTATCCCTGAAGAAGGAAATGGGAAACCCTTCTTGTATCTGTGCCAAGAAAGAGTCAAATGGGGTCACAGAGTCAGGCACAACT